GCCCGTCGTCCCCTTTGCCCGTCTTTTGTGGCCCGGGGTCTTGCTTCTGCTCCAAAGATGAAAGGCCTCTGGGGCCAGGCCAGAGCCCAGCCCCAGCGCCCTGTTTTGTTCGAGTTGTGCTTTCTACACGCGAGCTCTCCCCTAAAAGTTGTACCAAATGGTTAATTTAATTATTCCAACTATAGACCAACTGCTTCAGCAGCCTCCACCACGCGTCTGGGAGGAAAAAAGAACGGGGTCTTGCTTCTGCTCCAAAGATGAAAGGCCTCTGGGGCCAGGCCAGAGCCCAGCCCCAGCGCCCTGTTTTGTTCGAGTTGTGCTTTCTACACGCGAGCTCTCCCCTAAAAGTTGTACCAAATGGTTAATTTAATTATTCCAACTATAGACCAACTGCTTCAGCAGCCTCCACCACGCGTCTGGGAGGAAAAAAGAAACCATCTATAAGAAATAATCTAATAAAAGTGAAGTGTAGAAAAACCCCTCCTGATTTTCAACCGGCACAAATAGAATTAGAGCTTCAGCATCCTTTTCCCAAACAGACCTTTTGTCCAGATCACAACTTGAGCCAACCAGCAATGTGTACAGTGCCTGCTATTTATTTTAATAGAGGCGGGTAGGTAGGGAGATGGATTGATAGATAAATGGCCACATGGATAGATGGATGGTTGATCCATCTTCCTCTGACTTTCCTTTCTTAATATGTGTACACGGTTGATTTTTTTTCCCCTGCTGATTTTTTGAATCAATAATGGAAAGGCAATGTTATGTGGTAAAAGAAGGGGGGAAAAAGGTCATTTAAAGCACAAAAGAGGGAAGAGACTACCAGCATATATACCATGAGAAAAAAATGTTTACATGCTACCCAGTACCAAGTGAAAAAGGTTGAAAGTTTAAAAGAAACTTTTCTTTCCTTTTCTTGCCATTCATAAGAGGGTTTCTTTTTCTTCTTCTTTTTTTTTTCCTTGAAAGTCAGAAAGAATGTTAGAAGACAAGGAAACAAAACAGCAAACAAAATGCCATTGTATTGTAGTAGCAATTCATGGGAAAACGCTTGTCAGCCTCCTAATGCCTCACTCCTAGGAGGCTGTTTCGAGGCTGTTTCACCGCAGGCGAAGCACAATAACATGGGAATGAATAAAATATTAAATACCAGTGAGACTTTCCGAGGAATTTTCTTTTTGATTGCTTTATTTGAGGCTGCATCCAAATTATTCCAGCACAGCGAGGCCACTGCCTGGCAAAGACTCAACTCAGAACCAAGACTTCTCTCAACCATAGAATTAAAAGGCAAGATTTGTCCTCAGGGGTTCTCAAAAAAAAAAAAAAGTTTCTGCAGGCAGCAGCCTTTTCCACTCACCTGCACTAAGAAAATAACGCAGACTAGATTTATTGGGATGCCATTTCCCCAGAACATAAAGCAAGCCGACCACAACATCCCCACGCATGAAGATCCACTGATGTACACATTCTCCTAGCATTTTAGAACTTGCACCACATTTTCCGTTTGCCTAGCAACCATAATACACATGTTTCATAATAGAGACTCTTTGTATTTCTGGTAACTAACCTTCTGGCACTGTGAGACCAGCAATTATTAACTGGTTGACAATAGTGTATACAAAGCCATTAACACAGTGCTTGGCACTTGGGGAGAATCCAGTCAATATTAGACACCAGTGTTATGATCATGCTGCTGCTGCTGCTGCTGCTGCTGATGTTGGTAGAGTATTTTTGAATTGCATATTAAATACTTGACTTTGAAATTTAGACAGTGCATGGACACTCTCTTGCCTATTGATTGTGTATAATGCCTGTGGAAGAGGGTAGACAAATCAAAGA